TATTATGTATCTATGTCTCTTAATTAAAATTAAGTAATATTTACTCCAATCATGAATAGTACTTATGTCTTGTAATGAAGATTTTTTTAATATAATAATGACAAGATAATTATTGTTGCATGGCATCTCAATAATTGCAAAAGTAGCTAGTATAAGCATATCGTGTATAAAAATTCATACATCAATGAGAATTTTTAATGGAATTACGTGGACAACATTTATCATGAAAATTATAAATGATTTTTTTTTGTTTTAGAAGCTAAAGATATTATTGAATGTAGTTAGCTATAATTTTTACTTTGTAACCTCTAACAACTAAAATATTAATTAATTTATATTATCCTAACTAAATATGAATTACCATAGTATCTGAATCTATGCTTCTAACATAAATGTTAATAATTTATGGACTCATAATAGTTGGTTTGCATAGTTGTTGTGAATACATTTGGAAGTCCAGACTCAATTCCAATCATTTATCTAATATTATAATAACTTTTGTAGTATCCAAGATATTGTGCCAATTTCAAGGATCCAACTCTATTGTTTTGAGTTCTTCTTGTATTGCCATTCTAAAGTTGAATTATCTCTTATAATTTTGTAGAGAAATGTTTTTTTAGAGTTCTACCTAATGTTGTATGATTTTCAAATTTTGGATTTTTTGTAATTAGATTATTATTGCAAAATTGATTGAAACACTTATGTGTATATCCTTCAATCTAAAAATCATAACATTGTTTCTAAAATCTTGGCCCCCTACTAGAAATGGTAGCCATCATGGTTAATATGTTAGACAATTTCAACAATAATATTGAATGAATCCTTAGTTTCAATAATTATCATATATTTGTAGCTACTAATTTAATTAAAATGTATCGCAATGGACCACATTTGGTTTTAATACTATTATTTTGTTTAGTATTTGTTTTACAAGATAATTTTTTGGATTTTAAGAATCTCATTTGTAGGACAATGGATGCCAATAATTAAATATATTATGCATAGGCAGGTATTGTATCAATCTTGGTGGTGATATGTTACAACTAATAATATCACTAATTTTTTTAGAAGTTTGTATGGCCACATCTACTATTTCATGTAATAAGGTGATTTCTATATAAATTTATCTTTGTTAAAGTGAAGTATATAAATCCTTTTCAAACCAATTATATTTTAAAGAATCATTGATTGGTGTTTTTGGTTTGTCCAATATTTTCTTAAATTGATGGTAAAAAAAATCTACTAGTTTATTTGGGTATTGCTTAATCACCTTCAATGCTCGTAATACTTCTTAATTTTTTCATTTCTTTCCAAGACACAACAAGATTTTATTTTTCAAAACTATAAGTCCAATCAATTATAAATTTCTATTTATAATTCTATTGAATTAATGACTATATTGATTCTAATAATATTTTTGAAATATCAAAGGTATTAATCTAAATCATTACTTATTCGAAATAGTAGATATTAAATTGCATCTTTTAACTTAATAAATATCATTGTTATTTCTATTGTAACTAGTGTAATAATTAGTGCAATTATAAGCATGTGAGTTCTTCTTGTGGTTAGTTTTATTAGAGATGATTATATAGTGACTATAGAAGTTTCTTTTAATACAATAATATTTTGAGTTTATGTTCAAGTTTTTGGATCCTTACATCTATTTCTTCATTTCTAGCATTCATAACCAAAACTTGGTATTTTATTTATTTCAAGAGATCCTTTGTAGACTCTTCTTCTTCTTCTAAGCTTTCTTTGAATATTTTTATAAGTTCATGAGATAATTTGCCTTAACTATCTTCCCTTGAGGAGTTGTCTTCTTTTGGATCCATACTCCTTAGTACATATTGTTTGTTAAGTTGTACCTCTAAGCAAATAGCCATGTTGTCACTCACTACCTATATTGTCTTGAATTAAATGACCATCCCTAAGATGGTTGCCAAAATATTTGTCAATAGGTTGTGTTGATTAATAATGCATTATAGAACAATAACAGAAATATACTAATGTGTCCAAGATGTAAACACTTCCTTTGATATAATAATTCTACATAACACCACCAAAAATATCCCTTGAAAGGTGTTGATAATGTCTAAAAGTTTCACAATCATTGCTTCTATTGTAAAATCACAATAATTCTTCAACTAGGGACTAGTAGTTTCTATTATTATGTCTTTACTCAATCTTTTTATTATATCAACATCCTTCAATGTTGGAACTTTTGCTAAAAACTATTGACATCATGCATGGCGCTGACAAGTACAAATGTAGCTTTTGTCAAAATAAAAATATTTAATTTGTTTTAGTAACAATAGAAGTAAAGCTATTATTTGAAGGAATTTCAGTTGTATTGTATGATGTTGTGCCAATATGTTTATTTTGATAATATACTTACTACACAAGTCTTCTAACAATTAAGTCAAGTAGAACATTACTTCATATAAATAACATAAGACGCCTAAGTTTTAGTTCCAATTTAAACAAAGATACATTGTTAAATTTTAATCTATTATGATATTCTGTTGAATTCTCATTTATATAATTAGCACCAAAATAAACAAGCAATTCTTTTAAAAGTATTTTCTGAAACTGATAACTTCTTGATACCATCATCACCACTATTTAGTGTTAGTAAAAATTATTTGTTTATTTTAAAATAATCAAAATATATTATTTAAACATTAAAGTTGATATAAATAGAATTTAATTACAGCTTGAACCATCTCTAATTTGTAATAAAATATTAATATATATATATACATATATATATATATATTTTTATTTTATTTTTTAATTTTAAATATATATTTTGGAAATGTTTCTTATAATTTTTATTTTTTTATATCTTTGTGTGTTGTCAAAATTTTGGGCATTGAAAAGAAATACAAATAATGTCTTTAATCTTATTTCTTTAAACCAAAAAAATGATAATTTATATTCATAGATAAACCAAATAAAAATAATATTTTATAAAACCTATATATATATATATATATATATATATGGAAGTGGCTTTTATTTTAAAAACTTTTATCAATTTTCTTGGATACTGAATAAAATATCAAATATAGAAGGTATTGTATATCTTCTATGATAAAAATTAAATATTAAGTTTATATGAAATTGAAATATTTTAAACTCCTCAAATCATTATTAATTCAATTGTATCATGTATAGATATTTACATGCTGTTGTAAAATCGTTTAAATGATAATGGTAATAATGATAATATTACAATCTAGTACATATTTATAAAAAAAAAAAATTATATTTTTACTTAAATATAATAAAACAAAAATAAAACCCCATCTATTTGTAAAGTGGTTTGTTTCATTTTAAAAAAAAAACATATTTTAAATACATTTTCAATGGCAACTTTTATTGCTTTGAATTTTATTATTTTGTTGTTATAAGGATTTAGTGTCATTTAATGAATCCTTGCAAGATATAATAATAATCAAACACGATATGGTACCTGTTCATACACACACACACACACACACACACATATATATATATATATATATATACATATATACATATATAATCAAAAAGGAAACTATATCTTTTTGGATTTCCAATATACTATGTACAAAGGTAATTTTTTTCTGTTTAATGTTTGTAACCATCTTAAATATGTTTATAATAATATTTTTTCAATTTTATGATTCAAATAAAATTTAATGTTTTTTAGGTCTTAAGTTTTGATTTCAGAAAACATCTTAATCATCTACTAATTTACCACCAAGGTTAAGAGTTGACTTATTATCATTATATTTATTTGTTAATGTTTTTCCGTAAAAGACCACATGTTTTAAATTTAATGGTATGTACTAAAAAGACATTGATGAATTTTTTTCTATTTTTATTTAATTGATGCACAAAAATTTGGTTTAAATATTATTTCAACTGTATTTACATAATCTTGCTCTTGTTAGTCTGAGAACAATTCTTTGGTTAATTCCTCAAGTTTGGGATTTATTTATTTTTATTTTTTTAATTTCAAATACATATAGATGGTACTAATTGATCATGATTATTTTTTACATAATTTAATTCAATTGTATTTATAAAATCTGAGAATCTATTGTAATTATACATTATGTATTTTACAATATAAAAAATTGAATGTTTATTGTATCTCATAGAAACACAAAATAAAATATAATATAATCAAATAATTTAAAGAATCCTTGTAGATAATCTGTTTTGGTCTTCATTTCCATTTTCTAATATTTTTGTCTATTTATTTGATATTCTTAGATAGTAGAAACTTAGTTTATAAATTTGTGTAAATAAACCAAATAGAAGTAGATAAAAACACCTTTTGACTAAGTAAAGAAAAAGAACATTTTTTGCCTAAATATTTCTAAAAATATTATGTAGAATTTTTTACTGAAAATTTGAATTTTTTTTGTAAATGGATTATGTTGGATTATTTTATTTTAGAAGACAATAAAACATAGAATAACTACTACATTAATACACGAATTAATCACTCTGAGACAAATGAATTTCAATTACAATGTCAATACTAAGAATTAAAATTTTAAGTCATGTATATTTTTTAGTTTTTTTATTAACTTCTTTAAAAATGGTCAAATTAACCTCAAACAAATATCAATGTTTTCATCATCATTATTTTTGTGACGATTATGATCTTTTTAACAAATAAAAGGATATATTATATATTCTAAATCTTAGAAATAGTTTTAAAAGTATTTCCCATCTTCAAAATTATATTTAAATTTTTTGAAGAACTTCTTTCAAAAGATGAATCAATTCTAGAATCATTTATAATGATATTTTTAGGTATAAAACATGGACAGCTTTAACGTGTTACTTGTAGAATGAGTTAAATTTCAAACTGATATATATATATATATATATATATATATGTGTGTATATATAGATAATTATATGCTATCATAACAGCTATCTTACCATGACTCATAAGATTAAAAAAAAAAAAAAAAATGCTGAATTCCACAAAGAAGTAGTGTCAAGTGTTTTGATTGGTGGTTATTACAGGCATCCAGTGATGTTCTCTGAAACAATGAAAATCAGTAATTGCCGTTTTTAAGAGCAATAAAAATTCATTACAGTATATCACAAGAATACATTTGAAGATGTAATGGAAATCAATAACATGTTGTCGAAAATGATCTCTAATTATCAAAACCAAATAAACTACATCTTCATAGTTTAGATTCAAATGCCACGGCACATAATAGGTGATCAGTTTTGATACTTCAATTTCAATAAGTATTCACATATCTGCTCTTCAGTATGTGCAAATAGTGTCTTCATTTTCATTTCTATCCTGTTTATTTTGCTCACAGCCTTGCCATAAAGAACTTGGTAGTGTAGAAAAATAAGTAAAAAAAATACTTAAATCTGTTGTTTCCAATATTGTTTAGGAAAATAAATAAAATATAAAAGACATTAAATCACATAATACTTTTATATGCAAATGATGCAAATTTAACAAATCATTGTACACACAAACACAAACAAACAATGGACTTATTTCCTGTGAGAAATGCATTCAATCGGGCTTCAAAGAAACAAAAGACATGGTATGGCAAGACTCAAGAAGATATTGATAAGGTTTTGGAAGTCATAACCAATGCAATTATTGAACTTTCCATAGTCCCTGAGGAGGCTCCTGCTGGAGTTCATCAAAAATTGGTCATGGAAGTGTTACAAGTAGAAAACAATTTTTGTAATTTATCTATTCAATATCATACATTCCAAATTCTAAAATCATAAGCTAAAAAGTTTGAAATTCAAAAATATGTTTTGGAAATGCAAAATTGTGTGATTCATGGAATGGAATTTTTTTGAAGTAAAATTTTCACCTTTGCACACAAATACACCATGTATTACAAAATGTTTGCAAAATTGTGATAATTTTATAAAAATGGATGCTTTATAAAAAAACATGGTCTTGTCGTGTTTAATTAAACGTTCAAAAACTACCCTAAAAAACAATAGTTTTATCTTTTTAAAAACTAATTTATAAACAAATAAATGCATATATTATTATTATTATTATTATTATTGATGCTAATTTGCAATGTCACAATCGATTTGAAAAATAAAAATAAAAATAAATAAATGAGTTCACCAACTCATACATCAATTAAATCCTGCCTAGGCCAGTCACACATTCTGTAGTGCTAGGATTCATTGAGAGTCCATAACAGTTGTGACGTTACTTTTACTCATTAATTGATTGATTAATCAATTGTCTGTAGGCAAGGCTAAAAGAGATTGGAGCCCAAAGCTTTACAGAGGCTCCCCTAAAAGAAATAAACAATGCAATGACAAAGTGTGGGAAATTGATTGACAAGTGCTTTAACCGCAACCTTGGCAAAGTGTATAGAAACGTGGAGTTCAACCACGGACTTGTGAACCAACTTGTGGCCTTGCATTTTTATCGGCAAGGTCTTTTTGATGTCGGTGATTGTTTTGTGGCTGAATCCCATGGAGAAAGTGCTTTGTCAATGAGAACCCAATTTTGGGAGAGTCACCAAATTTTGGCACAATTGCAAGCGGGAGATTTGAGCGGAGCTCTTGCATGGGCACAAGAACACCACATTGCTTTACAACAAAGGAAATCTTCTTTAGAGTTTCGGCTTCAACGGCTTCAATTTGTGCAATATTTGGTAGAAGGGAAAAAGGCGTTGGCTCTAGAACATGCAAGAAGCTCATTTGGAGGTTTTGCAAACAACCACATGCATGAGATACAAAGATTGATGGGTAGTTTGTTGTGGGCCGGGAGGCTACAAATGTCACCATATGTAGATATTTTGTCAAATATGGATTGGGATGCAATAGCTTTTGAATTCATGCATGAGTGTTGTGCCATGTTGGGGCAATCCTACAATAGCCCCTTATTTGTCACCCTTTGTGCCGGCTCTCAAGTAAGAATGTTGTTTATTTATCTATCTATTTTTTAGAATCTAGCAATTATGACTTTCATAGATAAATAAATATAAAATATATATATAATCATGTATATATATATATATATATATTTTTTTTTTCTCTTGATTAGTTTGTGAATTCAACAAGGAGAGTGAAATATTCTTGTTACAAAGTGTGTTGATTTTTAAACTAAAAATAGGCACTTCCAACACTATTGAAAGTAGCAGCTGTGATGGGTGGTAAGAAGCACGAGTGGCAATCCATGGCCCAATTGCCAATGGAGATAGAGCTTGAAAAGGGATTACAATTCCACTCCATCTTTGCATGTCCGGTATCGCGGGACCAAAGCACAAATGAGAACCCTCCCATGCTCCTCCCTTGCGGCCATGTGCTTTGTCGGCAATCCATTCAAAAACTTGCTAAAGCCCCCACACGGACTTTCAAATGCCCATATTGTCCGTCCGAGACCACCCTCTCCCTTTGCCAACAACTCCATTTATAAGTCAAACTCTTCAACTCTCTTCCATTCTTATAGACATTTTTTTCTTGGAAAAAAGTATGTAAGGATTTGATGTTCAATACTTTTTCATCTCATACCACAAAGGAACATAGAGAGAGAGGAGTAAAAGAAGAAAAAGATGATCTTTGAGGTTGTTAAAGGTAGGTGGTAATAGAACAACTTTTTGGTTTTGGTTTTGATTTTATTTTTATGTCACATTTAAATATACAAATGGGTAAGTTTCTTTTTATTTTGGATTGTTGCATTCGAACTGTTTGAGTATAGTTGGATATTAATTAAGATAGAGTATACAGTCCAGTGATGATTCTAATTGGGTAAAAATAACATTAACTATTTAATTTCTATTTGCAATAATTATGTCCACAAAATCATTCTTCAAATTTTTCTATAAATTAATTATAAAACTTACAAATTGAAATTGAACTTAAACCTACAAATTTGCATGTCATACAATGGCAAAATCAACTATGGTGACATGTCATTCCATATAATATTCAAATACATACAATAGTTAGTCATTTTATTATATTATTGAAAGAAAGACATATTTTTTGAGCATTTTTGTGCATATTCTAAAAATAAAACCACTTGAAAAATAAAATAAAATAAAATCCTGCAGCCAATGAATCAAAGTAATACAAAAATTCAGAACTAAAAAAACCATGAGAACATACAAATTAGTACACAATTAAGTACACCATATTTTGGTGGTGGTGATTTTGTTTTTTTGTTTTGCTTGTTTTTTTTTTTATTATTTTTATAAATTTCATAAACTATAATTTTTATCTGATTTTTTTCTTTTTTTGAGAAAAATAGTTACATATATAAAAAATAATAATTTAAAAAATAATAATTTAAAAAATAATTTGACGGTCATAATTTCCCAAAGTTTTTACACTTTGATCTATGCCTCATACATGAATAAGCTGTGAGGTCGTAAAAGGAAAAGTTTGTGAAATGGTGCACATACCAATTTTCATGGATAATTGTTTTTTTCGGTAATAAAAAAGTTGCAAAAAATCAAAATAAGAACTCATTTGAATTATGTAGAATAGTAATGAACGGAAATATTAGTTTTTATAACAATATAACAATAAAATAAAATATGTATTCTTGAAACTATAATATCTCATCACAAATTGTAGCAGTTACTTAACGACTAATTTATTTTTTTATTTGATGAGTAAAAGTATGTCTTTGGAATTTAGAGTTCTATATTTTCTTTAGTATTCGGAAACTTCCTGATGTAAAAAAATATTCAATATATGTTTTAGACATTACTTCAATCTTTCACAAACCTTGTATGTATTCATAGACAAAAATGAAAAAGATTGATATTGAACATAGAAATATATACATCTATAGATATTACAGAAAAAACAATAAACTATACATCTATAAATATACAGTGAATATTTATTATTTGGATTTGTGAATTTTCTAGAAAGTATGACTTGTACCTAAAAAAAATAGTATTGCAAACTAAAATTTGAATATTTTTTTATACAAATATTAATTTTTTATTAAAATCAAATCATCAGATTTCTATGGCTTATAAGAATTGAAGCACGTCGAAGTACAAGCATGATTTTTAAACTACATCATTTGATTTGAAAACAAACATAATTAGTAAAAAGTTATTGTTATAGACAACTTATGCTTGAAAATGAATACTTACAAATTATGGAAGTGAGGTACACATTAAGAATTACTTTGAAAAAGCAGTCACATTATTAACATTTTAAAAAATAAATTGTGAAATATATAAATATATATATATATATAGAGAGAGAGAGAGAGAGAGAGAGAGAGATTTCTCTCTTTCCCATGTCTCATACATTTTTTTTTAAAATATAAAAGTTTACATATATATATATATATATATATAATATATATATAATGTAAATTCAAGTATTAAAAAAAGAAAAAAAGAAAACAAACGAACAACAAGAAAAACTTACAGATTCAACTTTTACATATTTTGGTAGGATTTAAGAACTTTTATGGATGCATGTCAAGCTTCAATGAGTCCTACACAACACAATGACATTAAACTTTGTCTTTTAAAAAGTGACAACAAAAACCATATGAAAGCATCTGTAGTATTGTGTTGTGTAAAATGCATTAAAAATTAAACATTTTCATATATCATTTTTTCACATGTTCTCATGTTCAGATTAAAAACAAGTAATTAAAAAAAAGAAAGAAAAAAAGAGTGAAGTTCAAAAAATTACCACATTGTTTTCAATATATTATATAATCTTAAACAAAATATATATTGACCCACCATGTCAACTACAACTTTTAGGGTTCTAAACCTGAAACCCTTAACACCAAATATTGACTGCATGCAAAATGTGAGGCAAAAATATTGGGGAATGTTAAATAGACTCAAGTTTTTACTAAATTGACCTACCCATCATAACCATCATGAAAAAAATAATGACTTGTAGATTCATTTTTCCACTATTGGATTTGCAACAAATAAAAACCAACCACATTCATTATGATTACCATATTCTTCATCAAAGATGGGTCGATTTAGTAAAAGCATGAGTCTATTTAACATTCCCCTAAATATTCAAGGCATGTTACAAACAAAGCCTCCCAAATTTCTTTAAAAAAATATTCAAGGCATGCTACAAACAAAGCCTCCCAAATTGCTTAAAAAAAAAGGGAGGCAATAAATAGTTTTAATGGACACAACTATCTTAATAAAAATGCCCACCCAAATGAATGAATGAATATACACAATCATCCAAAATGAACAAATCATCCATCTATCATCAGATAATAATAATATATATATATATATATATCGATAGAGGGTGTATGTGAGTGTGTGAGAGAGAAGGTGAGAATAGGGGTTTTAGGGTTTTGAAGTCACAGTTTTCCGCTCAATTTGCTGAAGATTCTGCGGGTTCCATCGAAGCGAAATGTGGTGAATTCGTTAGTTTTGTGACTCTCTTTCGGATCTGAGATTCCCCCACCAGATGATTCACGGAACAGTTTTTTATTCGGCTTTTGAAGCTCCAAACGAGTGTATTGATTTGCGGATGTGAAATTTTATTAACTGTGTTTTTGCTTCCTTATGGAAGCTCAGTTACTGCCGAAAAGTAGCAGGTCAGTGTTAAAAAGGCTCGGGCATTACGAAATTGGAGGCTGTTTTTGTTGTATCACCCGACTGTACACGCCATTCACGATTGTTGATTAGATTGTGTTGAGAAAAATGCACGTAATTGCGGTTATCATGTGCCGATGCAGACGTATTGTTAGTCAATCGACAATGTAATCGCAGTGTTGTGAAACACACTGAATTCATTTTGCTTGATCCTTTATCGGGTGTGGGTCTGTGAACGCAGCCTGTGTTTATCTTTGGTTGCTGCAGCAAGCTCTATTGAAGTAGTACTGAATGGTGAAGGCATGGAAAAATTGAGGAGTGAGCTTGTTTGAGTGCTCTAGAGCAAGGAGTGCCTCACTTGGAAGAAGAGTGCAGGGGTTAGTATCAACTCAACTTCTTCGAGTGGGCATTTGTTCCTCTACTTGGGTACCGGAACAAAGACCAATCTGGGCATCATCTAGAGCATTTGGGTGCCAATTTTCAAGGAGAATATGCAAGAGTCAGGTTCTTAGATTGCGTTTGATTGTTGCACGGGCTGAATGGCTAGGCAAGTGCACCTTTTTTGGTGCATGATAATTACTTTGGTTGGGTTACTCGGAGCTAGACGAGTTGTTTGCACTGCCGATGAGGAACTGTTCCAATGGAAAAGGCTGACCCAGGAGAATTTCACGTCTATTCATAGCAACGCCTTCACTCTCTGCATCGTCATGTTATCCTGTAAGTATTTCGTGAATTCTGAGTTCCTTCTCTATTACCAAAGGTTTCATCACGACGGGCTTGGTTTATATGTTCTTATCAAGTCACGTAATGAAAATTTCGAATATCCTAACGTTCACTAACAAGCAGCGTATCATCAATTCTGAAGTCTATTGAATCAGGCTTGTGATCCTTTAAACTAGCATGGTCAATGGTTGTGGTGATATATGCAGGGTAATATTGTTGTTTTGACATATTGTCAAGGAACTCAAATCATATCTATCTCTACATGTGAGGAGCATCTACATGTGAATGTTTACATTTGTAAAAAATCGTGATTTCCGGAAGTTTGATGTCCGTGCTGGTTTTTTGAGATTTTACTTTGTCTTCAAACCGTAAGGACATCATGGAGTTAATTGTTACATGAAATCCCAAATGCTCCTTTGACGCAATTCCTTTTTGACTCGTCATGGCAGGGTGTGGTGAGGGCAGAAGCCTGATTAGAGAAATATCTACGTTAGTGAAGAACAGCCCTGACGAGTTCACTGCATTACACTATCGATACGTCTATGTTAATTTGGATCGCTCTGCAGTGAAATCATTGCCAACAATTCGGTCACCATCCGTTTTCCTATTTCACAAGGAAATTCCTTTCCTTTACAAGGGAAGGCTCTTAGGTTCTCATATTTTAGAGGGTGTGCGGTATGGGATGAGGTCTAGCGAGAGCGGTTTTCCGGTACAACGTCTAGAAACCTCTGAGAATGTCATAGCCTTTGCTGGATCGTCTGATCGAGTATTCTTTTTCTTGGATTTCTGTGGTCTCTGCATTGGTGATGACGAAGAAATGAGACATCAGCCGTTATCAGGTACACCGTTATCTGACATTTCGAAGGAGAAACATAATGATGAATTGGGACCTAAATCACGTGGTGACGAAAACGCGGTTCGTGCTGAGAAGAGTCCTAGTCCTCACGCGTCGAAGAATGCACAATTAGTTGACGATCTGGAGGAGTTGGTGTTGGACACTCCACCACATTTGTCAGAGGCGACAATAGGCTTGCACACGTGGACAGAGGTCATACTACCAGCAGTTGATACCATGTCCACAAATGCAACTAAAATTGGAACAAGAGTTGACCCTAGTTGCATAGAATGCACGGAGCTTGAAAAGAGACGCTGTAGGAATGTGTTTGAGAACTTCACCCAGGCCGCTGCTATGAATGCATTGACTCCTTACAGAATCAAATTCGGCCTAATTTCAAGTAAGTCAGTTGCAGCTGAATCGGGGCTCATCGATCAAGGGGATTCTTCATTATGGAAGTTGATGGGAGTAGTTCAAGAGCCTTTCCGAGTGCCTGATGTTTATGAGGGCGAAGGTGACGTAGGAGACTTTATTGCTAGTGTATCTCCGTCTCTAGTAACAGAGGTTCGTATTACGAACTTCGCTTGGATTGAAAACTTGTGGTAACACGCTCGAGAAGACACTCGTCATGATTGTATGCTTCCATTTTTCAGTCTTGAAGGTTTTCCCGATCTTTGTTTTGTTTTGTATTTTTATTTTCATATTCTAAATCGAATCCCGCTTGGGGAGAACTCAAAGCCTCGTAGAGCTACTTGGAGTAATTGTGAACCTGAATAATTGATGGCGTCTTGTTTTTGCAGCTGAAAGGGGAGGGATATCACCAACAGGTATCTGCCTCTTATGCCTTGTTAAGTGATAAACCGTCCATTCTGCTCTTCATTAATAGGGGTTCCGCCTCTCCCGAAGTCCGAGGAGCGAGTCAGGATGCTCTTGTCACCACTAGAGGTGCAGCTTTTCATTTTGCAACTTTGAATAAGTTCCATCCGGAAAATCAAGAAGCCACTTCAGTGCAACCTTCGGGAACACTATGGGAGAAAGAAATGAGTTCCGAGGAGTTCTTGGAGGCATCTATTCCAAAGGGCCTACACCAGCATTCTCAATCGCTTACGGTGGATAGATCAGATATCTTGAGTCTTCTGAAAAGCGTTAACTCGGGGGCCGTTAAAATGCAAAGTGAAAGTGGAGGTTTTGTAATGGAACTGAAAGCAGTTGCACACAACCAAGACTCTCATAGTCTGTTACAGGATCTTATTGAGAACCACCGAAAGCAAAAGGCTACTCTAAGTGCGTCTGATTTATTCAATCTTCTCTTAGGTACAAGCTCTCGAGGCACCAGTTTGTCGAACACGGTTTTAGGAGAGTCGATTGGAAATGACAAACATTCAAGTGATGAAGTTAAGGAAAATTCTGCTGTTAACATTGATGAGGTCGAGGATAATATGGAGCTTGTTGCTTCTTCTAACCTCGACCACCATTTAAAAGGGAAAGCGGTTTTCACTAGGGGTACAGACGATGAGGGTCAAGGAAGGTACTGCTCAAGAAAAACTACAGATGAGCATACCCTTGAAAAGGGGCGAGTGGGGATTAGCGGGATTAACGAAGAGTGCTCAAGAAATGGTGAAGTAGGATTCGATGATCTTGACTTGCGAACTGATCATGCAGGAGTTCAATCTTCAGTCGATGACATTGAAAGATCCACTCATCCGCTTGAACACTTCTTTGGTATCGATCGACATCAGACTGTTGAATATGACGAACATCCTGCAGATTCCTTGGGATTGGATTTGGAATGCTCGGGAAAGGAAACAGAGCGAGACCATAAAGTTTGCAAAGCTAATGCTGAGGTTGATATGCCAAGAAATGTGCAGCTGGTGCACTTGGGTGAAGCACTTGATGTTAGTGATAGTTTTCCTGAAGCTGATAAACTTGGAGATGCCGAATCAAAGGATTTGTCTGCTCAACACGCAATAGTACAGATCCAAAAGAACTCCGTCCTTTCCAGCAATGTCAGCCCTAGAATATCTTTCTTCTTTCGAGATGGTGATGACTCGCTGATGGAAAAGCTTGCCATGACCACAAAGACTCCTGCAGTAGTAGTTATATTTCCGAAAGATGAGGTTCATTATGTTCATCCAATAATTGAAACTTTAACTCAGTCGTCACTTATTGCGTTCATAAATCAATGTTTTTCTGGTCGCCGTGAAGAAACAGTTCGGTCAGAGACACCTCAATTACCTATTATGGATGTTCCTCAACCACCTTTTGTGAACCGTGACTTTCATGACCATAATTCGGTGCCTCGGCTTACGGTTACTACGTTTGATTACGACGTTCTTGGATTACGTTACGCAAATCTCTTCGCAGATGATGCTCAGAGCAAGCAACGTGAAGTGGATGCGCCTGACTCAGTGACCCCAGCCTGGAGGAAGGATGTCGTAGTGTTGTTTACAACCCCATGGTGTGGGTTCTGCAAGCGGATGGAGATTGTTGTCAGGGAGGTTTACAGAGCTGTAAACTACAATATGGGCTCATCTGTACATGGTTGTGATGACGAGGTGCGTATGTAGCTCTTATCAGCAACCTGTAAGCATGTATGTGTGTTGCCTAGGGAATTCAGAGGGGCTCGTGATCTTGAATGTATGGAGGGGTTCTTGCTGGATTTTTTATGTCTTTTTGATGTGGTTTTATGGAAGGGTTTAGTATTATAATTCAAACACTGCTCTCTACATGCGGCTCTGAACGAAGTTCCATCGTGCCCTAAAATTGGCATAAATCATGGGTTGACCCTTCGTTTCAACTCAAGCCTATCAGATGTTCAATTCAGCTAGGCTTTACAAAATTGGTTCTCAAAGTTTTTACTATCGTTTTTTGCTTAGGATCTGGGAGACGCACGTGTGGCAGACCTGCAAGCGAGCAATTCAGGTACACCATGCGAAATATGTATCCCATTCTATGTGATTCCTCTTCAAGCTCCGTACAATATTAGATGGTGAAGTCATGAGCCATATGATGCATTGCAAAACGCTTGGAATGCCCAGAGTGATGGTTTTTTGTGACATCCCACGGGCAAACTCTGCTTTATTTGGGAACGCAAGAGGGCTCTATTGCTGATGCAGCGTTCGCATTCAAAAGCTATCCTTTTCTGCTTGACATTATTTCACTTTTTCATAGTTTCCAACAGCAAAGATAGCTTGTCAGTGAAGCATAGATATGAGAATATATGTAGATCACTTGGGTACACTGGAAGTCAGTAGAGTAATTGTAGAATGGTTTTGACCATTGAGTGTATTTGGACTCCGATGTAGAGGAAGCAGAACCAAATGAAGCCAACAGCAGCCATCGCAATGATGGACTTCCAAGTATTTTGCAAATGGACTGCACCCTCAATGATTGTGATTATTACTTACGGCATCTTCTGGACCAGGCATGTACATTTCTGATCGCTTGCCTGGTATATTTTGCTGACCTAACTTTTGCATCCTGCAAGTCTCTCATCTCTTTGTACTTTTTCGTGTTGACAGGATGAAACCTACCCTGCTGTTGTTCTTTACCCTGCGCAGAAGAAGCATGCTCCTGTGATCTATGAGGGCGCTCCTGAAATACAATCACTTTACCGCTTCATTGCCACAAATGGAATGGCGTCCTCAAAGTTAGCATGCAGGGTTGCAGGTACTTTTCAAATCATTTGTATGGAGAAACCATACAAATGATCTTTCTTAGCCTTGAGAACACTTGTTAGTTTGAGACACGTATTAATCAGCGGGTGAAAATCCGGTAATCTTTACCTGGAAATATGAGCCTTACAAAGCTGATCGTTTTCAGGCCTAGTACTGTCACAATGAGCTCAATGGTGGGTATAAGCCAGGGATTCTCCTTGCCAGTTAGGCATCCGGGTTTACAGACAACTTTTTTCAGTCTAAGGGACACTTTCAGAACAAGAAAAATTCCCTCACTTTAGGTAAGACTTCCACTGCAGAGTACTGTTTCAGTTCTCTACAGCATGGGAATGGTTGGAGGTTGTGCCCACAACGCAGTTGGAAGTATATGAAGTCTCCAATCATCGTTTTGTGAACTGGGGAACCGAAATGGGTCGCTGCGACAGATGTGTTTCAGAACCATAATCTCTTATGTGTGATCACGGTCGTGCTTATCAGGTACAGGAAGGAGCAAGGCAGATTTGCATCACACACCAAAGGATCCTTCTCCCATGAAAATTCCTGCTACAGTAACAATCCCCACTGATGTGAGAAACGGATTATCAACTCCTTTGACAGAGGCTCATCTTTACGAAGGAAGTGCTGAACAACCAGGCATGGAAATCCCTACTCTTTTCAAGTCAGAAGTGGACGCTCGCCACCCTACAGCAGGCACTCTACTTCTTGCATCACCGCTCTTGGATGGCACTTCGGTGTTCTCTGGTTGTGTAATACTGATTGTTCACGCCCATGAACATGGAGATGTTCGTGGCCTTATGCTTAACAAGCCTTTATCTTGGGATTATGTTGCGAAGACCATAGGGCAAGACTCTCTTCACGAGGCACCCCTAGGTTTCGGTGGCCCTGTAGGAGAGCAGAGCCACCCATTTTTTGTACTTACAAAAGTTCCTGGTTTAGATGATTTTCATGAAGTTATGCCGGGCGTGTTCTACGGAGTCTCTGCCAAGTCAGTGGAAGATCTCATTCAATTGATGCAATCGGGAAAGTTGATTGAAGCGGATGTATGGGTGTTTCTTGGTTGCACAGCTTGGTCATGGTTCCAATTGCAAGAGGAGCTTGCCCAGCAGATTTGGAACGTCTCTGGACACTACAATGGATTGGTACAATGGCCAAGCGGATGGAGGGTACATATCTGATTGGAGTTTCATAGAACTATAATTCAGGAGAATGTCGCAACTCTATCGGCATGACGAGCACTGAACTTTGAATACTGAACTGTTTGCTAGTAATGAGAAGGAACATGTACATAAATTTTATTGCAAACTGGATATTAGTTATCATTTTTGACTGTCGGTACTGGAATATATTTCTTCATGAAGTATTCTGCAGTATTGCCTAAATGCGTATGGTTTATTTTATTTTTTTTGGGTTAAAACTTCAGTTATGCTATAAAAAGTGCAAATACAATGAGGATTTAATACTACTGTCTACTTGGAGAAGGGTGCTAGTCAAACTAATTTACTGCGCAAAAAGATTATACCGCACAGATTGAATAGTTTGAAATGTTGAATGCCATTTATGTCATTGCACATGATTGTTGTACTCCAATCAAGTGGGAAAGAGCTGATTTATGTAAACTTCTGGTCCCAGCAGCTAGCACTCCAATGCTGTGCTCTCCTGCCACAATTAGAGGGATTTTATGATTAGAAGGCATAAACAAAACTGATCCAAACCTATTATAGCTTCATGGAGGACAATGTTACTATTGCGAACAATAAGGTAATCGCAATTTCGCAAGAACTCATGCCCAGTTATTTTCAAACATTTTGAGGGACATGTGCACAAGATCAAATCTCTCCGAATTAGATACAAAAGATGCAAACAAGGAGATTGTATAACATGCAATAAACATGCCTGATTTTGAAATATCTCCAAAAAGAGTCCAATTTTAGCAAGTTGAGTTCTAGAAAGAGGTCAAATTCTCTGAACTATCCCCGCCCTGTGTCGTGCATTCAGATCCCAAGAAGGGAAGAAAATGTACCGATTTCTGGTAACCATTTGAGACTTTCTCCACTCCAGTTCGTAATCGTCCCACCAGCACCCTCCACCACTGGCACTAAAGCCAAATAATCATATGGCTGTTGAGTGAAATAGCAGACAGAAAACTCTCACATCAGAAACATATTGAAAGCAAGTAAGAAGCAGATACTGAGAAGGAAAAAAAAAAAAAAAAAAAAAAAAATCAAATCAAATCAAATCAAATCAAATAAATACTGGTACAGAATTGCCCTTGTTCTAAGTGAACAGAATGTCATAGGTTGTGCGAAGTGGCACGAGGAAAACATAACAATTCTAAAGATGTCTACTGCATACCTTCAATCCATGTTCAATTATAACGTCCACGTGACCGGATGATAGCAGCCCATATGCGTAGCAGTCACAGCCATACAAGGGTATTTTCACCTGCCAAATGAAGATGCAAGCCATTGAGCATAGATCAATTATGATCGTCTTTATATCTAAGTCGTTCGTGCCTGACATATTATGCTCCACCGAAAGAGGGGAGAAAAAGAAAAAAGAACAGAAAAAAAAAAAAAAAAAAAAAAAAAAAAAATACTACAAGCTACTTGCATTGTGAACATAATTAGATAGGATTAAAGTATACTGAGATTTGATACCTCATTCCGAACGCGCACGAAAGCATCTTCTGTTTGTCCAGTAAACATATGGGGACTTGTCGTGTACCTGTACACCAGAAGAATGAAATCATGACTGTATGGATAAACCAACATCAACCACGGTTACTGATGAGTTTCACTATTGCACATCACTAAATTGAACAAAAGTCTCCAAAACTGCTAAATTGGATAGGTCGTCAACTATCATCCCGCAATTATCCATATTTTTCCCGACTTGCACACGATCTCATGGCACTAAAAGTATTCAGAAGAAATGCTCACAAGTAAGCGTCTTTGAGCAGCGCCGTAGAAGAACGTGTCCTAACCCTGCGGCCATTCAGTGTAGTAGCTTGACCTTTGACTCCGACCCACCGCTCCCCCAGCACAGGTTGATCAATAATGCCAAGAACCTGTTGTTACAGCACTTTAAATACATCCTCCAGGTGAACCAACGTGCACTGTAAATTTATGGATTTCGAAATAATCGAACCAGAATGACGAATTTGCTAATACATGGCGAGTTACAGAGATAGCGTCACTCCGGTAGTGAGCCACAGGAATACTCAAAAAAGAGCATTTACAGCCGTTACAGTTCTAGGCACTCAATTTAATAGGGTGATGATGGAAAACTTCTGTGCAAAAGAACAAGGGTAGGTTTAAAACATACAGGAGAGCCCTTGTGAAGCAGAGAGATGAGTGTTCCGAAGACTGGCTTCCCTGCAATCCAATAAGAAGAAAAATCAGTGGTTTGTTTACAGGCCCTTAAGCCTTCGTGTCCTTCATTGTTATTATTTTAGTTAAATGTTGGTGATGATGGAGGCATTACAGTATTCTAGGAGATATTCTATTTGGTGAGTTGTGTTATGTAGGATGCTTCCAGTAGCCTGTGCACATTAGGGAAGATTTATACGCTTCAGAATGCTCGGAGCTCTAGCTACAATTCCCAAGATGTTCCCTCCAACTTCTCTTCGATCACACGAAAATGACAAGCTTAAGATCTTTTCAAGCTCTGAATACACATAGTATCAAAGTCTGCGCCACATCGGCCTCGTTCGCCTACTTCCTCGTTCCTTAAAAGTGAGTCACTTCGGATAAAGGGGAACTCCATGAACAGGCTGCCTTCAATACGACATCGTGAAGCATCTAAATTTTCCCCAATGCTAACGTGCAAAAAGAAGGTAGACAACATCAATAAAAGGAAGATGTCGTAGTCACCAGTGATGAAGCTCTTAGTGCCATCAATGGGATCTAAGACCCAGACATAATCAGAGCCTCCTTCAGGCATCGTCAAGCCTCCTTCCTCTCCAAATCTGTCACATCTTGGTATTAGCCTCTAGGCTGCTCTCTCTCTCTCTCTCTCTCTCTCTCTCTCTCTCACACACACACACTCTCTTTTTAAATACCCCCAACAAAGCATGCACTGAGATTTATGATCGCACGAATTCAGTGTTCTTTGCTATAGTTCCTTCAGTCTACACGTCAGGCAATTCTTGGATCTTCACTATACACACTATATAAGACTTAAAGCAGTACATAAAATTTCCCCTCACCTCACAACTTGCTAGGTAGTTGGTTTTATTTTTGACATGAGGATTTTGGGTATGCGCAATTATTATCACATTCTATATTTATGGAAGGTGGTACATACACCATGATTTTGATTCGAATAGGAAAGAAACTGAAAGCTAACCTAGAAATCACCAGCCGGCGAGAGAGAACTTACATAGCATGACCCGGAAAGTGCCGAGTTATGATTGAGCACATAGCCGCTTCAGTTTCTCGATCGGCCACTGTCACTGGACCTGCGCACCATTGACATTTTTCAGCAAAAAATGTAGAGGACACGTTCAAGTCCCTAATTTAGATACGTCGGTAAATACAATAATCGTGTCATTTTGAATTTTGCGTTGGCACGCGTTCAAAGCGATCAAGAAAAATGTGGAAGACACGTGTCACTGATGTTGATCAATTTCGCCAATTTGAAATCAATTCAGTGTACGGAGATGGAAAAGTTGAGAAAGCTATTTAACCCCGGAGCTCTTACACACTCCTGGTAGGTGACCCGTTTTCGAATTTCCAACATGGAAGTATCAATTTGTTGAAAAACAACAGGAAAATTTACATATTCTACACCGCAGAATCTGGGCATGCACTAAAAATGAGCATTTCAAAACTCTCTTTGATATTAAGGGGAAGAATACTGACTCAAGTCTTCCTTATCAATGATTTGAAAGCCACGTCTGAAGTATTTGACAGTAATTGCTCGCGCCGCGTCTGCAAGCTTGTGTCCGACCTCAACGAAATCCTCCATACTACTAGAGCTTTCGTAGCCCTTCTCATCGTCCACGGCTACCGCAGCTGAATGTTCGCTACGAGTGGTGACAGGTGCCAGCTTTGGCACTTCACCAGCAAGAGTACTGGAAAGCCGTTCCTGCTGTCGCGTGGCATGAAATACTGTCGGCTTGCCAGGTGCATCGGTTACATAGAATCTCTTAGAAGGCACCGTATCATCAACGATTGATGAAGAAGCTCTTACACCTGTTCGAATTAGCCAGAGTCAAGAGCGGCAACACTTCGAAAGTATGCCTACTTAGAACTTTGCGAATGAGGTGTCGAAGATTTATTATCTCAAAAGCATGACAAACTTAAATAACACACGAAATATTGTGACGATTCTTGAAGTCTTCAACAATCGACACAATTTGTTAAACCATGATATAACTGCCAATGGTTCTCAAATAAGACGAATTCCTATTACATAGTAGTAAGTACTAAATGAAGCGACTCAAGTAAGGCAAACACACAAGCTTCGAGACACAGAATAACTTCGCCAGCATCACTCACGCAAACAGCACAAAAACTCATAAACGCTTCCATTAAACAATCTTCTTCCACACATGCACTACAATGCACTACCAAAATTGGCTTCAAGTGTTTCTCCCCGCACGTCGACTCTTCTGTAGTTAAGAACACGCTCGTCAGCACGCGAATCTCTCTGTTGTGAACTAGCTAATCAACTCAGATAACAAGAATTCAAGATCACATGATTCATCAACAGCCCGAAGTGTAAACAAAAACGCAACTCCACTCTCACCTGACGACAATTCTTCAGCCAAGGTACGAACTCCGTCTCGAGGCGCTGAAACTCCATGAAGCTCCCGTTGCCTAGCGAACCCGACAAGCGCCTTCCGGCGAATGGTTCTGACCGCGGTATACATCGTTGTAACGAGGGAAGTGATCGATTCCCCGAGAATTCTAGCAATTATCTACAGAAGTCCTGATGCTCCGCTCAGACTCAACGCACACTCGTTTCAAAAAAAATCACGCAGAGCAAACTTATAGACTGAACTCGCTTCCAACACGTCCTTCAATCAGCAACTCCTCTCGGCCAGTGTTATAACACACCGTCGCCACGAGGCAGAGACGGGTAACACGCTGGAAACACAGAATGGTGACATACACGATGGAGGAGAAACACGAGCATGAGTTAGTTACGGAAGCAGAGAGGGAAACAAAACCTCACGCGCCTGGCTATGGCGGGTGGATTATGGAATATGCTGTAAGCATATTGGAAAGGAAGTAACGGGCATTTGCACTGTTACTATTGCTTTAGGGAAAACACCAATAAAACAATCCTTAGAAGCATGGTTCAGACTTTTTCCACATAGCTTCATGCTATCTGCCTCACAGAGACAACGCCATCGCAGACGTAAGTTAAATGCTGCCTCCCCTTGTTTTCAGAAACATCCAGTTGCTCACAGCCAAGCAAAGTGGACAAGTTCACACACACTGACTAACTGACCTTCGGAGGAGGAGTCAACTTGGGCGACTCAGAACTAGTCTTCGGTGGGTATCAACTTTGACTACCCGGATATCGGTTGCTTTTTAGGGGGTATGAACTTGGAATAACCGGATATAGATTGAGGCTAAGAGAGGTATACACTTGGACTAACCGGATATATATTTCTTTCAGAGGGTATCAACTTCGTTTCCAGAGGCAAGTTGGTGCTGGTGTCCTTTGAGAAACCACACAGCTTACCTTAAAAATATATATATTAAAAAATATTAATTTAATTTGGTACTATAAAAATCTTAATATGGAAATTTACGATGGTGTATCACAAATTTACATACATATCCAGGATTTTACGAATTTTAGCATCATCAAATTTATAGCATATATATGTATATACTTATCAATCTAATGTGAAACTATTAGATTCCTATTGCTTTATGAACAAAACATGGCCTTCAAAGTAGCTATATTGGATTAATATGCTTTATATTTTATTATATGTATAGGAATGCATGGGTCTATTTAACATTCCTATACATATAATAAAATAAAATGTCATGTAATTGTAAAAGGTACTTACCAATATCTCGGAGTGATTAAATAAACAACCTAATGATTGATTGTCCACCATCACAAACATTGAACAAGATGAATGTTTATATACATTTTTTTCCACCTCCCTCAAACATATCACACATATTTGTCACATACAACCACAACTCAAAACAAGTAAGAATAAAAACCCTCCCAACTTGTTATTAAAATGGCTTCCAAAAGGTTGTAAATACATGAGATTTCATGTCATGTTTGATACAGATACAGACTCATTTCACCCTAAAGTAATAAGGCCATTGCCTCATTGCACAAATGGATCTACATTAGGGTTCATGATCCCAGATTGCTTCAGTATCTTGACCTAAAAAGTGTTCCAGGTGATGCCAAAAAAATTTGTCCTAGGAGAAGCACTTCAAAAGAAAAATAAACATATAAATTGTGGGTCCTAACAACCCCATGTGTGGAAAGCACCCAAAGGAAAATATTCCACCCACATCAATACTCAAGAAACAATAAAATCTCAAGAGGATCTGTTGAAGTCCAAGACGTACAAATAGTGTCTCTTTTATGGGAAACATGTAAGGGCTTTGGGATTTAGTGTTTTAGTATTTTGTGTGGTCTTTGGCAAGTTGTGCATGTTATCACATGGCTGAGATAGATCCATCCTAATATATAATTTTTGAATTTGTTGCCCATCCATCTCTTTGGTCCAAAATTGTTTCTTAAAAAAAGGCAATCTCTTTACTTAATGTCATATTACCAAGATTGCAAATCTAGGTGCCCATCACATGTCAAAGAGATTCTCAACTTTTGTCATCAAGCAATAAGATGGTATGGATTAGCTGTGGTTTGAATTGAAGTAATTAAATCTTTGCTGGAGTGAGGGTTCTATAATCTGGTGATTTTTAAAATTGAACATGGTTGAAATCATTTTGAACTTTCATGCAAATTAAATTGATATCACTTTTGAGGAACTTCTTCCCTTGAGCTCAAGCTTTTTTGGTGCAAAGTTGTCCAGTAAAGTGATGTGTAAAGCACCTCATGTGTGCTGTTTTAGATGTGATTTTGTGATTTTATATTGTTTGTCACATTTAAAGTGTGAGTTTTTTTATATCATTAATTTCATCTTCTTGTCCTTTGCTGTATCCATTATTGGTGAGATAAGAGTTCCATAACAGATTGGATGTGCATAATATGAACAAACACACTCAGTTTTATTTTTAGCAATTATCAAGAGGCAGCAAAGTAATGTTTGTGTGCTGTGAAAAAACAAATCATAACACACTCTACAAGTTGAAAAAACAAAAGAAATAAAAATATACCTGTTTAAAGTAATCTTAATATATATATATGCTGCACAAAATTATGTTCAAGTGGTTTTTGTTTAAACCTAATAAAATCAAATATACTTAAATTGTATAGGAAATATTTTTTTAAATGTAGTCAAGAATTATAATGTCATGCATTAAAATCAATTGCTATTCATTTTGAGTTGCTGACAATCTAATAACAATGACAATACACAAAGAACATATGCTCTAAAAGGAAATTATATGTATGTTTGTATGTATATAAGTATTAAAAATATGTAACATAACTACTTATTTGAGAAATATTTATTTAAATACAATAAAACAACCACCACAGAACAAGTTAAATATTCACAAGGTTTGTATTGTTCCACAAAGCTAACATAATGATTTTAACACAAAACTTTCAAGTTGAATTTTGAATTACATCTTTTTTTTCATGGTAAAAAAAGGAATTCATATATTTTTATTAGTATAAGTATAGCTATATGAATTGAAACTTTAAGTCACTTGTTGGATTCACAAAAATTCACATAATTGCAGTCTTTCTACTCTACAGAAAAAATGATGTCAATTCAAATGTACCTTGACTGGAGTTTGTGGCATAATTTCAAAGGTAAAAAAACTGTATCAATTTATTATTATTATTATTATATCAAGCATACCACATTTTAAATAGTCAGTGTTTTCAAAAAGGGTTTGAAAACGTCAGTAATACAAAAGTAACACATTTTCAAGTTTTAAGATTCGAACTGTTCAGTTAGTGAATATGTGGCTATTATTGAAATTACAAGCTGAAAAATTCAGCTGTGATTACAAATTGTTGTAAATCAAATTCCAAGAAAACTCTGTCAATAACTCATTGCAAAAATAGTTGTTTTTCTTGGGAATATTTGATAGTAAGCAGAAAAAAATTAAAGATGATTCTTATTCACTTGTAAGCTCTTGTGTAATAACCAGAATCATGTATAAATGAACAAAATCAACATGAGAATATTATAAAGTTACCAGTTTTTTTTAAATGTTATTATCACTGTGGTATAATCTTGACTACAATATTAGCCAAAAGTATGTAAGTTTACTCACTTTTTCATTACAATTTGACATAATATGTTTACGAAGCTCCAAACATGTATCCATTTATGCCTTTCAGCATAGGCACACTCTCTCCTCCACTTATTTATTTGTTAGTGTATAATCAAAGTTAAACCCCAATCCTATTGATCCAATACCTTGTTAATGGTTACATTCAATCACATGCACCCATTTGTTTTGTGTGTACAATAAGAAGAAATTTATCACCCTCCATTGATTATGAATTTTAATACTAAGTAAAAATGATATACACCCACCTATGGAGAAGCAATGGAGATTCTAAATTTTAAATACACACATTGTATAGTAAATTTCATTCTTAATAGTAACTCCCAAATATGGTGAAGCATGACAAGTAGTTCATGATTGTTAAAATCAACCACCACCACCATGTATCTACTTCTATCAAAATTACATTCATATTTATTATAATTAACTGAAAGATATCATATGCAAATCATGGGTCTAACACCTCCTTAATATCAAAGCCTAACTAAATACCTACTCGTTACAACTTACACCACTCAATCCCTACAAGTGGGGATGAATGAAAATTCAATGAATGCGTCAACACGTGGATGAATATCTAAATAATAGAATGAATGAACAGAAGAATGGACAGATGGATATAATTTTCAATAGATGACTCATTGGATGGAGGAAGAAATGGGATGAAAAGTGCAGTTAAATAGATGGAGAATGCCCACGCCGAGATTGAGCTGGGAGATAATGACGTGGCAAGGGATGCGTTACAAGAATCCCCCTAGACTGTGACGTGGCTATGGTCAATCCTAGGTGGCCCATAGTGTGTGTGCCACCGTGTCCATCCATGTTTCATGCACAGCGCCGTGTGAACGCACAGAGTCGCGTGCTTTGCAGGTATGTGTGGCGTTGTGTTGTGCTGCGTTGAAGCGAAGGGCTCAAATGGCAATAAACCCCTGGAGCTTCGCGATCCGCCGAAGATATGGTTATGGGGGCCTGACTCACCAGCCTGCAGAATAGTCGTGCGTGGGTCCAAAGAATAGGGTGCTGCAGTTGCTACATGTGGCTGCTTCCTTGCTTGGATTTCTCGTCACCGTCCCCGCCGCCGTTGCAACAGCCTGGATTCCGTGTGTGGTTTGCTTTCTTAAGAAACATGGGAGTGTGCTCCTCGGGGCGTCTCAAAATTCTATTCAAGGGTTCATTGAAGTTGGAAACCGTAGTCTGTGGAAACTGGAAACGAGTGCGCTCGGCGCCAGGTTTTAGGGTTTGGGATGAAATCCATTCGCCAAATGCGAGGAACTGTTTAGGGCTGATGGGTTCTATAGCACTGCCGATGTGAGTGAGGAATCTATTTTTTTGGGGGGTTTTCATGTTGGACATGAAAAGAGGATTCTGTTAGTAAAAGGTTAACAATGGGATTAAATGGAAATTGCATTAGCATGGTGAAAAATTATTGTCCCTTGAGTGACTGTTGTTAGAGAGATGCTCCATTAAATGATTTTTGAGAAATAAATGATAGAAATGATCCAGTTGTATAGAATTGTGGAAAACAATTCCACCACCACCACCACCCAATTGGAGTGATAGAATGGACTATAACACAAATAACAATATGGATATGTTTGTGTTCTTTGTTAGAGATATTCAATATTATAAGTATTAATGTACTAGTAAGTTTCTCAGGGCTCTTGTTTTGTGATTACAAAAAAAAAAAAAAAAAAACAAACAAACAAACAAACAAACAAACAAAAAAACAAAATAAATCAATTTAGCAAAGGGAGAAATAAAGAAAGAGAAGGGGGGGGGGTAAGGTATACATAATAGAAAATTTATATGGTACAATTGTTGGAGTAATTAATTAGTGTAAATTTAAAGACCTAATTGAGTATGCATACACATTGTGTGTGTGTGTTTTTTAATAAATTAGATTTAAATTAACATTAGTATATATTACGTTAAATATTTTTTTATAACATATTTTATAGAATATTATTTCTTTAGTTCGAAATTTATATAACTACATGAAGTGTTTAGAGAAACGAGCTTATTCTTTGTGGTGTGCATAAACAAAAGTCATAAAAATAAAATTTTGGCAAATGTTGTTGACATTTTATGGAGATAAAAAAAATGTATTGTAGAGGGAGAATCAATCAACAAGCATTCTATCTCACATCCAAGGAAGAAAATCATTACTTAATGAATAATAATGCAACAATTAGATAATGTAATCATCACCATAGTAGCTGTAGAATTTGGACCCACATCCTCTTGGATCATAACCAAGACTCTTAAAAGAGCACTTGGTGTAAAAAACATTCACATGTATCGACTCTCCCAAAATTATTCATATACAATGGCAATAAATATACAAACAAATATATGTAGCATCATAATGATAGTTATATACATATATACTTATTGTTGTTAATAGAACCACTTTTATTTGGTTTCCTTGACAATATGTGAATATTCATTATTTAAAATATGATAGTTGGGACACTTTGAGCTCAATATAATTCCAATATTATGTTCTTTATTTTTTTTGAAGTATATATTCACAGAAGAAATAACATAATATTGGATCTATAATTATATCATGCTCTTATATATATATATATATATATATATAGATAAAAATTATTAGTTAAAAAAATTCAAAATTTGTTTAGAAGCAGTGACTTTGAAATTGTGATTTGTGATTATGTATTTATAGAACATAGAGACATTTTTTCTTTGGCGAGGAATGTAGTTCTGGCTTTTTGTTGATGCAACATATTTTATAATTATAAAAACTTGAAGTTGAAGATAACATTCATTCCAAGTCAATATTACATTACTTCTAATTTTTTGCTAAATCAAAGTAAAGATTTTTAAAACTTAATACAAATCAATCACAAAGAGATTTAAATGAGTAGCCATATTATTTAATAACTTTTCATTTTTGTACCATGTTTTAAATGATTATACAATTAAAGTTATACAACAGAAAAATATAATGAATATATATATATATATATATCACTACCTTGTTTGACATTGTGGTAGTTTTTACAGAACATTTCTATAATCCTACAAACACAAGAAGCACATGACACATATGATTTGGGGATATTTGGAAGAAATTTGTTGACAATTAGTTTTTAAGAGTTTAAAATATTGACACTGCTAACTTTGCTTGTGTATGCTACTAAATTTCAAGCAACTGTAGTTGCATATAATTGTAATAGTACATGTTTTAAAGAGTTAACAGTACAAGGAATTGAATTGTTCTTTAAAATTGATGGTTGGTATGGTGGAATTATTATTTTTTGAATCTGCAATATGAATGTAAATAGCTTGTTGGAAGTCATGGATGGAAACAGGAACCATATAGAAGATCAGTGCAAGAGAAACCAATGTAGAGATTATACATGTTAATGTAGTTGACCCATTCTCAACCACCCTCCATTTCCAACCTATAGGATGGTATATTTTTGATCAACTTGACATGACAATATTGATCAGTTTTGAGACCTTGTGGTTTCACATTTCTCAATTAATATTTTTGCCTCAACTCCATAATGCCATTGGGTAAAAAATTAAGAATTTCATGCCAACTCAGAAAATTTGGCTAGAATCAAACATTCTTGATTTTGTAACCAACCACTGGTTGGAATTAGGTTGGCTTATATGTCAAATTTGGGTCAAAGAGAATCTTCAGCTAAAACATTGATAAAAATTCCGTTTTTGGGCAAGTAAATCGAGTAAAATCAATTGGAATCCTCATAATTTCTATTTCTCTACACAGATATATTTTTATTTTTTCATACACTTACAGCAGATATGCTAAAATGCTTAAGTTATTGGAAATGGGTTGGCTACAGTAATGGTTGTAAACAAATAAAGACAACATATTACCTAAAATTGTGAACAGATTGTAAATATGGTTTACAAAAGAACAAACATCACACATTTTACTGAACTTTTTCGAAATATCAAGAATACCCGTCAAGTATTGATAATTGCAAAAATGCCCCTCGAAGTGATAACCTATCTACTTACTGTTTTTTTAGTTTGAACTGGGGCCCGCGAACAGGACGCCCCCTCCCCCGCTGCCCCCCCTCGCTGCAGTCGCAGAGTTCTCCCAAACCACGTCCAACTACATTTGAAACAAATCCAAACACCAGAGTCCCCTGTCAGGCTTCCACACGATCAAGCAAGGCAGGCAAAAGTGGCGCCGCTGCCCTGAGCATATAAACTTGAGCGTTGAAATCACATTTGTTCACAGCAAAAACATTCAGTGCTAGGATTAGCGCGAAGGAGATGACGACGACACCCGCTGGTCCCTTTGCTCGCGTCTCCTCAGCTGTGATCTTGTGTCTGCATCCTGCTTACAGCAAAGTCCAAAAATGGGTTATATTTATGGGAATTGTGCAACGCTGCACTTCGTGCGCACCCAATCGGAGAAAATTGAATGAGTCTGGATTGTGCATCGTGGAAGTGATCACATGCGTGCATCGAGGAAGCTCGTTTGTACTCATATGCTGGGGTGAGAGAATTGACAATTACCTGCAGCCACGAAAACACAGTGCGCTGCTCTTGCAGTGACACTTCATCGTTTTCTTCTTTACGACCCCAATCAGACGAAGCAAATCGCGCAGCCCGCTTTCTTGAGCCTCAATTTTTCCTGACATCGTCCTTCGACCGGCTGGGGAACACCCGGTTTCTCGACGTCATGGGGTTTACCAACACTTTCACCCATTTGGGGCTCGTCGTGCTTTGCAATTTGGGATTAAAGCATCCTTGCCCCGCCATGCCATTCAAGCTCTCTCCACTGCAGTCGCGGTCGTGATCAATGCCATAGAATCCGAATCTCAACATTTCGTCTTCAAAACACATGTCGTCAGCCTGCTCTTTGATTACTCTTAGAGCTTTGGCTTTGGCGCTGGACCAAGAGCCCAGGGGCAACGATAGCGACCTGTCTTCGAAGCATGAGTCGTTGTGGGAGGATCCCGAGATTGTTTCTTCGTGGTTCAGCTCCGTGCCGTCACTGCCACTAGAAGTCTGGGGATCATTAAACTCACACAAGCCCGAGTTTGACGTTTCTGGATACAAATTCATGAAATAGTTGACATCGTCTGGTCTATTCAAGCTTGAGGGGTATCCAAGCTCCCGATGAAGCGAGTTCAGATACTCGTTAGACTGATGGAGTTGACAGTCGCCGAGGTTAGTGATTTCTCGCTTGACCCCGGAAGATTTTTCAGGGAGATTTTTCGGGAAGATTTTTCAAGAAGTGTTAACTGGTCGTCTACAGGGAGTACGTTGGGAGAGCCCAGTGCTTCAGGAGGCAGCGCACCCATTTGCTCTTCGTAAGAAGTAGCTCTTTCTTGCTGCATTTCCATCTTCAGGTTTTTGTTCTTCTTGAATACACAGCAGACCACCCACCCACCGTCCTGAAAACCCAGTGTACAACTTGATAGGTTATCAAAAACCTAGAATACGAACTGCAAACTTATGAAAAACAAGACGGAAAAAACATTAAGAAAAGTACAGAAATTGAAAGGTGAGCAGGAATTTACATGGGTTGGTCGTTCGGATCTGTCGTCAAGGCTAAACTCGCGCAAATTCCAGTCAGTCTTGATGCCATGTGGAGCACAGCCTTGATAGAATACAAGCGTTTTGCGCATGCCGATCAGAGTCTGGTTTAGCTTAGTGTGGATGGGTTTGTCGCGTCCAGTTGCCTCCCAGAAACCCATGGTGGTGACGAGATTGGCTCGGGTGCCGGTTGGATACTTCTTTCCCTTGCGGCTGAAGAAATAGCGGTCGATTTGAGCAGTTGGACGTGGTTTGGAAGAACACATATCTATACATCATGAACAGTAACATTTTCACATCCAATTATTAATAATGCATGAGTGTGGAGCATGAGTGCTAAAAATCAGTTTACTCAAAAAACATAACTAAATAACAAACACGCTAAAAACCTGACATACTTGAAGCAACAAAGCTCCTGTTCAAAGAATAGCCAACGTTTAATAGATAATCTTCTTCAAACCACATTTTAGTAATAAAAACAACATTTCAATATACAAAGATATTGTAATCGCTACGATTGCTACATGGGCATTGGTGAGATTTTCTCTTCAAGAAAACAATGCAAGTTTATCCGCAATCTGTAAGCTATGAAGATCAACATTTGTAATGTCTTAAGATACTATTCTATATAAACAAAAGGGGTTTACACTTAACGGAGAATCTGTGAACTTCTAGATGAGTAAATTGGAGGAGCTCTGATAACTAGTGTAGGCTGAGTGATGTGACAAATTTCCAAGTTACTCCAGCACAGTACAAATTCTAAAATTTTACAAGTATTTGTATTTCACTTGTTTGTTTGTTTTTTGCGGTGTGTGTATGTCTGTGTGTGATTATTGATGGAACTATCATCATAGAATGTACAAAATCCACTTGACCAACAAATCGACGAATTACAACACCATCAGTAAAGTACTCAAAGCGGCATTATCTGTTCTAGCTGCATCTCACGTGCAGTGCCAAACCAAGTAATGAGAAACGAGTTGTAAGCGCTGAGTACCAAGAACGTGCCTTCAAAGTTCAACAGGCACTAACAGATTGCACAGAGCTACTCAAATACCAACTTTAAGCTCCCCGAGTCCATTATAATCTGCTTCACATTTAAATGGTGAAATCAAGTTTCTTGCGCATTAGGACACCAACGAAGAAAGAATTGACGGAAGAGGTGAAGAAAGAAGAAAGAAATAAAGAGAAATAGATAAAAGCCTAGCACATGCACGACCTGTTACAGAACTATGTAACAGGACTATGGAAATCCATGTCAAAATACCTCCAGAAAAAGACGATCGCCCTTTGAGCGAAAATGACACAATACCAGACCAATACAGTAGCTGCGTAAGATTGAGCAAAGTAGGCATAAGCTCATGATGACGATCAAGTTGGTCTTCATTGATGAGTAGCGGAGACTATTACTTGTGCAAAAAAAAAATTCGTGCATGTGAAGGCATATATCGAAAACATGCACCTCTGGGTCAACTGCAGAAAGTCCCGTTCATATCTGAAAGAACCAGACCGCGGATTCTCAACATATGATTCGTAAGCGTCAGAACGGCAACAAAACGCAGATATTAAGATGCAAAGATTATTGATTTATTGCAGTCGTAATTTCGTGCAGGAAAAATCTCAAGGCATGACTGGTGACGAAAATCCGCACGAACTGCCACCGAGTTTCTGCACAGCTAGTCGGCAACATCTTTCATTCACTGTTTCAAGCTTTAGGCTTCTCTTGTGATACTTTGTCTTGCTTGCTGCCACTAAACTGCAAAAGATGAACAAACGTTTGTTACCATTTAATTATGGAACATGAGAGTCATTTTAAAAATATTACTAGCTCATAGGAAAAAAACGAGACAGAGTACACAAAAAAAAAAAAAAAAAAAAAAAAAAAAAAAACATGCACATACCTCGTTGGCTACAGTAGCTGCAACAACAGCTCCAAAGGCGCCAGCAACCATAATAACTGGGCCAACGGCCAAATTCCATCTAGCGGAAATCATGTTTTCCTTCTCACCTGCAACACCTCTTGGTGAAGGCCACGCACCACCTCAGAAAAAGAGGAACATGTAAACGTGTGGCTGCAATAAAGATAACCTATACATGACGAGAACAAATCGTCGAGAGTTCAAAAACGATCAACAAAAGAGGAAACCCTAATTATCAGCATGATGTGTCAAAAATACTCCGAATCCACCAGCAGAATAGACTAATGCAGTTGAAACCCTCCACAGAAAAACCAAGCGACCAGAGGTACTTTAATAACGCGATCGACACACAGACAGCGCAACATTCACGGAGCAAGAGAACGGTATCCTTGAGAGAATACTGCAGAATCCGTGCTCCTGGAGGGTAGCACACCCTACACCATCTTCCTCCACAACACGAAGCAATGTTCTAGAAACGCACGATCCTCAACCCGTACAAAATAGTTTTGCATTTACAACAAACACGATTGTGAAACTTTCGGTAGGACACGGAGGGGAACAGCATCACCAACACATGCCTGCATCGTTCACTTAAAAAAATCGCAATTAAAGATAGAAGCGGCTCACCTGCGGTTGTCCAGCACGCGTGAGGCAGAGACGGTGGCGAAGCAGCTGCGACGCTAAAACAAGGCTACAATCGTCGTCCACGATGTGAGACCAGCAATTGGCGAGAGAAAATATGGCGCGATGAGGAGATCAATCTGAGAAAAACCTGGGCTGACCGAGCCCCGATAATTGCCACCGTCTGCCGCTCAGTGCCGCGGGTTGCCGTCTTTTGCCTCACGGCACAAAACGAACAATCGAGCAAACGATTTCCGTCGAGTCGACGAAAATCGAACTTATCTATGAGTTTCCAACAATTTCATAAGAAAATAGCATCTAGGTTTCTTGTGCAAATGTGATCGCGCTATCAAGTTTTCATGCACTGTTATAGTTGTAGGTCCATGCTTTTGTGTCACCTTGCAATTTAGAATCCGAACACTGTTCACTCAACTGTGTGTGCAGTTTTCGAGACGGTCATGGATGGATGATGGTTATACATTGTTATTTGGATGTTCCACCTTCGCTTCATCCATATGCAACAAACTCTCCCTTCGTTCCTTGTCCAAAGTGGAGTTTTATTGAGACATGTACTGATGGTGTCTTTCTCAACACACACATACAACTTTTTTTTCTTCTGGAATCAATCAAGATGATTGGTTGTAGATTTAGTCACAAGTTCGTAGGAAAAAAGATTTAAAAAACTAAAAAAATACTAAAGGGAAAGCCCAATTCTTTTCCATCTCCAATAAATTTATCTAGCCAACCTAATAGGACAATGTCATTTTTCGAAATCATCACGTAAACATATTCACGGATCAATGCGGGTTGGCAAGATAAGTTTAATAAATATATATATTTGTATATTATGCCAAGATTTTACGAATATCTAGTCAAATGGATCCTAGATACCACGTGTGCAGTTCCTGTCTACTATGCAAGTGCAAAGGCTGGAGCGGTGCCGGGGAAGGATCTGCCCTAAACTCGAAAAACCCTTGAGCAACTTTTTGTCCAGACCACAAAATATCTCCCACCAGAATAGGATGCATCTGACGGTCCCGATGCAGCAGCCGCGTCAGAAGAGGCAGTAGGCGCGACCACCGGATGTTGGGCTCTGATGGCACTAACTCGCTGGACCGACCGCGAGTCGGCCGACGGTAGGGGCGCCCACCCGTCCCCCTCATAAGCTCGTCGTTGCGATGTATCGAGTAGTGCTCTCCCATTCCTTCGTCCCGGTCCGCTTCGCTCTCTTCTCAGAGGCCTCCAGGGATACCTTCTTCCCTGCGCCTCTTGTTACTTTACTGGTCTCTTGTGACTTGTTTCTTGTTCCGCAGCTTTCACTCTACCAAGATGGCCGGTGGAGAAGAATTCAGGTGCTTTGTCGGAGGGTTGGCCTGGGCCACTACCGACGGCCGCCTGGAGGGTGCGTTCCGTCCCTTCGGCGAGGTTGTGCAGAGTAAGGTGATCTCTGACAGGGAGACCGGAAGGTCTCGCGGGTTTGGGTTTGTTACTTTCGCCGATGAGAACTCAATGAACGCTGCCATCAAGGAGATGAACGGCCAGGAGTTGGACGGTCGCAACATCACCGTCAACCAAGCCCAGTCTCGTGGTGGAGGCGGTGGTGGCGGTGGCGGCGGTGGTGGCTACGGCCGCAGAGAGCAAGGAGGAGGTGGCTATGGAGGAGGTTACGGTGGAAGCCGTGGAGGAGGTGACCGTGAAGGTAGTGGTTATGGAGGAAGCCGTGGTGGAGGCTACGGAGGCGGTGGTGGTGGCGGCTACGGTGGCCGTGGAGGACCCAGCTCTGGGAACTGGAGGAACGACCGCCAACCCGAGTACTGAAGCCGTTAAGGTGGTTGAAACCTCTGGTGGTTTTGGGAAGCACTCCGGGACTGAGATCTGACGGCTCTATTGCTCGAAATCTCGGTTCTGGGTTTGGGTTACTGGTGAGAAGGTTACTGCGAGGAGGTTGACGAAGGGGAAGACACTGAAGGATGATACTGTTTGCGGCCGGGAGAGATGCAACTGTTCACTGGGAAAGCCACCCGAGATTTGACCGTCTTTGCTGTGGGGGTCGTTGGACCTGCCTGCAGGTCGCGTTGGTGGCGACTATGTTAGACCTGTTACTTGTTATTTGTTTTTGTGATCTTTCTGCAGTGCAGAACAAGGGATCGTCCTTTACTGTTCCTAAAGTAGGATAGCCCCTCGTGGTACCTGTACTAGTGTCTGTTTGTGGAATGGGCATGGCAGTTCTGGTTTTGATGCTAGGGCATGCTGGTTAATCCACAAAATTCTAAAAACGAAGCCATGGAATTCCTCTTTGGAATCTTATATGAATAAACGGGAAGGTTTCATGCATAATAAGATTATTGAAGGGTCTAATACCGACGGGCACTTTCCTCCTCTATTACTGTATGTGATGCCTCGCTATAAATTCCTCGCTATAAATGCCTAGCCACAAGTGTTCATGTAAATAGTGTCTAAATGAGAACCAGATCACTTAGTATTTTCGATACACCCGACCAATCGAGCTGATGTGAAGCTTACACTCCCCTCGTCATGATGTCCTGATATTAGCTGCGTGGCAACTGATCAATATTCCCCGTTGTAGACCCTACCAGGTAGATGAAGGAGGTGGAAAGTAAACAAGTTCTCTTCCTCTGGCAATGATTCACTACTCCGATCATGGAATATACTTGAAGCGCAAATAACTTAAGTAAACAGAGTAGTCTAGATTCCTCGGGAAATGTTACATTCAGCCGCGATATCCACTATAATGCATTGAAAATCGAATGATTGTTGTGTTGTAGGTAGACAATATACTCTACCGAGCATACCTCGAACAGTGACTGAACAATGTTGCATGAATCGTAGTTTTCGAGTGTATCTGAAGATGCGCATGTTTAATACCTACGCACATGAATGTGACACCATTGTAGCATAGATATTTCAATATAAAATCTGAAAGTGTGCATCTTCTGATCATCCAATCTCTTGTGCGAATACCTCACCAAATAATTTTCTTACTACACAAGTTCAAAATTTTCTCCTGTAAGTGTAGTGTCAGTTTCCAATCGTATACACTGGAATCCTTCTGAATTTTAATGAGAGTGTTCAATAGAACTATTCAATTATACATTCCAAATGCATAGGATGCAATTCTTCCCAAATCTTGATGGATTGAAAGAAACAGTAGAAATGGTTTTGTGGATGGAAAAGTTTACATTGGTTACAGGGGGTTTGACGAAGCTCATGTTAGACTGTTGGATATTCTTTTTTCATCATTTCTTAAGTAGTGAGAATTAAGCAAATGTCTGGGGTTCTTTAAGGTCTTTGTGTCGGTGCATATTTCTCATTGATTTGAGCAACTGGAGTGAAACAGTCTTACTGCACAATTGAAGCGGCTCGCATTGACTAAATGTGAGCATCTGCTCTTTTCAGAATCCTGGATTTGCAAGTTTTGGTCTGCGCTTTTAAAATCCATGTCGGGCAAATCTTATTCTCCAGTTTTTCTCGTGTCCATGCGATGCACATCGCATTCAACTCATTCCTTAGGCTCCAACTTCCTGCTTCGTAATTGCACAATCTTACGATAATCTTTGCTTGTCCAAACGATGCTTTCAAGTGGTTTTCATCTGCAGGTGGATAATGAAATTGGTAAGGGCTGGAATGTATATTCGTGTAGTTTCATTTTCCCCCCCTGCGAAGTGCAGTCGTCTTGCAAACTAATCCCTCTGTATTCTCGTCTCTGCCGTGCCCTTCATCTTTCCAGCTAGCTCTCGATTAGGTCGCCATCGCCGCCTTCGGAAGGCTCACATTCTGTGACTTCTCAATGCTATGGCCTGAGTCGTTCTGCAAGTCGGGGTTCGAATTCATTCAAGTCATGTATTCGTTGTATGTGTCTTTACAGGTTGGATCGGTTTGAAAAGGTGTGTTGAGAAGTAGGATGGGATTGTGAAGGTCTGTGTGAGACTCTTGTGGAATTGTTGTATATTGGAGGAAACTTCTGATGCGCCTGTCGGAATGCGTGATGCGTCTGGTTGAAGGAAGACCAGCGACTGATATCGTTGTTACACTCGAAGTAATACGCGAAGCTGCTTGAGAAAATTACATTGAAGCAGCCAGAGCAGTGATTGCAGCGCCTGGCACTCTTTTTTCGAATTAGAAGTTCAGTGTTTCATTAAACCTTGGACTGTGAAAGAACCCATAGACCAGATGTTGACGTTCCTGAAGTAGGTCATGAACTTCAGACTATTGCAGAAAACACAAATGAGCTCTCTCTGTGTTATCTCATTGACCTTTTACTGGGACCTCGCCTTTGCTTCACCAGCGCTTTTGAATGCCACAGCGTTTGCTATGCATTTAGTTTAACCTTTACGTGTTTCATGTTGTGGATCGCCATCATAGGTTCATTAACTTTATTCTCATAGTGTTCAGTTGCATTTGAGAGGGTATTTCAGTCAAATATGTAAGGTTCGCATTTTCGTCACTGTAAACTTAACCGCCGCTTTTTAGACAGTAAAATGACGTTGCTTATAGCTCACAACTCCCAAACTGCCTGTATGTATGTGTATATATATATATATATATATTTAGGAACTATTTGTGTTTTCATGTACTTGCATCATTTTCCTCATTTCTGTTAGGATAATTGGTTCATGGTCAATTCCAGAAATAAAATGCCAGATACGAACCGTAGAGTCCAGTAGAGGTGGAAAAGTCAGCGTGCAGGTACTTTCAGTTTTTTGCGGCCTTACTTCTCTGCACATTCGCTTTGAAAGAGAGACGTCTGTCACCTTCTCTCTTCCTCCCTCTATCTCTCTCTCCATGTATATATATATATATATATATATATGTATATGTAAGTATATATCTACACACGCACAAATATATCTATCCATTCTGTCTTTTGAGTGTCAAGATGGGCAGAGTTTTTGCAGACAACTATTAGATTTCTGCTGTAGCTGGACTGAGACCATTATCCTTCTCTGCGATGATGTCAATGCAATAATCTAATCCTTGATTATAGAACTTTACCAGTGTCTGGCTAAGTAGTTGATTTACTGGTGCTTGGCTGATGTATGTAGATGATGGTTGTTTGTTAATATAAGTGAAGAACTCAGCCATAAGCTTGAAATATGGATGCAAAATTTTAGAAGGAGACTCAGCTAACGAAAACTCGCAAGGCAACCAACACAGGAATCGATTGTCTTCTGGAGCCCAAACACCGAAGGAACCGGAGACTTTTTCCCTACGTGCATATTTCGTCACACTGAGAAGAGTGTCACACACATGTTGAATTGAACCTTGAAGTGTGTTTTTGATTGGTTTAGAAATGTACAACCACAGATCAGTAATACAACATTAGCAGTATGTCGGAATACATGTGTCGCTGAAACAACTGCATTACCTGGAACAATCTAGGTCCAATCCATGTTCTCGGCCACTGTGGTGAAGTTTAGCAACACGAACAAGGAAAGATTGTATTTAAACATCACAATTTTAATATCAGTACTGTGTTCTACTTCTACACAACGTATACATTCTTTAACTTTTCGTTTGAACTACAGCTGTAATTCTAACTTAGATTTTTCCATGGATAAATACAGTGCAAATGGATAAATACAGGAGTAGGATATTGCCCTCGGAAAGAATGTTTGTTCAAGATGAGAACCTCAGCTCTTAACTCACAAGAAGTGGGTCAACACTCAGCAAAATCGCCACCATTCCGACCATCACAATACTGAGCAACATCAGACCACAAGACGCAGTTGCAGATTTATCAACAGACAACCAACACCGATGAAGCAAATCACACGATTGGGCGATAGATTCAACAAAAACGATAAAAAGTCACCAAAACTTTATATCGCCATTTCCCGTTCGAGACCTTTGGTTATCCAGCTACGTTACTCTCGAACCTATGCAAGTATGGCATTGCAATCATTTCAGCAGCAGATATCCTTCGCCGCAAGCCACTGCTCTCTGCCAGATGGTTGTAAATGCAAAGAGAGCAGCAGGCTTTGCAGATTGAGCTCTCGCTGGATAAGTCTAGCTGCCTCCTGGAAAAGGTTTGCCTGCACAACACAACCCAGATTGATGAACCAGTCATGGCCTTCACCAGTCTTTGCGGCGATGATGGAGATGACAATAGAATCATGCTATATCATTCCGGAAAAAGCACTACGCACAAGCAAATTGTCGCTGAGGAGATGAACACTCTGGAGGCTAAGTTTCGGTTGTGACCATCAGGTGTGGTTCAGTGGTAGCGAAAAGTTGCAAGCAGCATCTACATTGCGGAGATTGCAGAAGAGGATGCAATGGGCAAAGGAAATGAAGAGTAGGCCACTTACCAGCACATGTTTGGCCCTTCTTGTATTGGCCACTTAGGACACATTTGTTGGGGAGGTTGAGAGCCAAGTTCAGCTCATTTCCAGCTAAGGGTCCATTGAAAAGCTTCACTCCTACGATGGCATCGCAATACGGCTTCAAGCTTGCTTTGGGGTCGAGTATCTTGAAGTTGTCCTGGAGCTCAATGCAGCAAGTTTTCAAAGGTACCGCCCGACCGTCAAGAACATATGATGCGCAGCTCAAAGGGAACTGGGGTGAGCAACGCGCTGCTTGGGCGCCAGAGCTCACCACCATCACCAAGGCCACGAGAAAACCAAGCAATCCAGTCATCTTCGCCATCACCATGGTCGTTGCTGAAAGATGTTGAGTTGGTAGAAAAACACAAAACTGCAATTGAGCGTAGATCACACCCTAGGGTGCTAATTTGTACTGCAGATTCATCCGAAATCTATCAACTTACGCCTCTCTATCGTCATCGTCATCGTCAAGTGGGTCAGCTTACAGTGAAACGAGATACAGGTTTCTTGTAAAGTAAATGGAGGTCTTACTCCCAAGATGATGCACGCTCTGAGGTCATCATCTTCAGATCTTGGATATCGATACATGCGAGAGCGTTTTGCACAGCACCGATGTCAAACGATTAGGGTAAACTGGGACTGACGTGCTGAAGAAGTGTTACATGGTGACAACTGATTGCGTCAGAGTTTATGGGTCAAACCGAAACCCTAATTTCATGCCTTTAGTCTGTTTTTTTGTTCCTGACTCAGCCATGAATTTCTATTACTGACCTTGACCTTGTGTCCTAACCTTCTCTGTTCACCTCTAATGAAGTTGCATCGGTGGGCCTACAAATGAGAACAAGTGTGGGAGCACAAGAGGATATTCACTAATAAAAACGTTGAGTTCTCCTGGTGCACCTCTTCTCCAACTATTAGCTCTTTCATGAGGTCCTCTTTTGGTCCTTGCAAGTGTTGAGCGTCTTGTTATTATTATGTCTTATTATTATTACGTCCCTGCAATGACATAGTCTTGTTTGTTTGTTGAAGATTCAAGCACATCCATGTTTCCTCTTGGAAAATTTTCTAGGTTTTAATAAAGAATTTTTTATTAAAAAAACTTAATATTTTAATTTTTGATGATAATCTTGGATTGCTAAAAATGAACTTATATTGTTTAGATAAATGCAATAGATCTAAGAAATATGCACTTGGTACCAAGTTTGATAAAAACAATTTGATATGGTTATTGATACAATTCATCCAAATGTTATTATGTTTAATTGGTATAATTTTTTTTATTATACATATAAAATTTTAATTATTATATACATAAAAATGAAGTAATTTTTTAAGTTTTTAAGTTTTATTTTTATCTATTTAAAAAAATTCTTATGTATTTAAAAAATTATTTGCATATATTTATATGTATGTCTATATGTACAATCATATGCAACAAGTTGCTCCTTGCAAAGGTCATCTACAAAAAATTACAAGAGTTGTGAGAAGGATAGTAGAAGAAGTAATAGATGAGGATTTTAGGTTATTTTTGCAATAGATTTCAAAAAAAGCAAATGTCGAGTTTTTTTTTTCAAGCATTTGCAAGATTGTTTCTATTAGTGGCTTCTACTTCAAGGTGATCCAACTGAAATTCTAAAAGACATTAGGACAAAAAAAAAAAAAAAAAAAAAAACATTGAGAATTTGTTCATAGATATTGTAAGTAGAATTTAGAGCACTGGACTAGGATTTATTTCATTGATAAGACTACTATAGTCTATGATCCATGTCCTACAAGGAAGAAGGTCTATATATATTAAGGTGAAGAACTATACAAGAAGAATTTGAGACCTAGTTTCAAGTTTGAGACCGCAAATATTGACATTTTTATATGTATTTACAAAAGAAGGCTGTTATAAGATAATTTAGTGAAGAAGATAACAAAGTGTCACAGACATATACATTTATCTCAATAGTTATTTATATGATTAGGTAGAAGTATGTAAACATAGATTAATTTCATAAAGTCTTTTAGAGATCTTTCTAGAAGCTTCATAGATGCGGTTTTGACTTTAGATATGTTTGTAGGTTAGAAACTTGGACAACAAGCTAACCATGTGTTGGTAGCTTGTGGAACAAGTTAACTTAGTGTAGTAGCTTGTGGAATAAGTTAACTATGTGGTACATACATAAATAACTTGCCTTGCAAGTTAAGACATGTGGTTAATAAAGTCAACATGTTTTGGAGGTCGTGTAGGATATTGCTACATAGCTTCTAATTATAAGTATATAAGGAGGCAAGAGTGAAGCCTTCTTCATTCTTGTCAATGCTTCTCTAGTTCGTAGTCTTGTTTCAAGACTTTCTAGTCTTCTTATTTTTGGCAATAGCCATTCTAGTTAAATATTACATCACCTTTTGAGTGACTTTCTAGTTTTCTTCAATGACACAAGATTGTATGGAGAATTTCCTTTCTTCGAGATTCATATCCTTAATACAAAGATGGAGCATGTTACTCCTTGTGATAGACTTGATCTTAATATTGTGCAATTTGCTTGAGAATTGTACAAATCTTATTTTATTCTTTTCATTTGTATTTTAAACAATGAGATGCATCATATCTTCTTAGTTGCAAATAGAACAAGATGGCACTAATGGCTTGAAAACACAAGAATCTAAAGAGAGTGTGGCTATGCATAACTATCTTTACCATCCAATTCTCTAAACTTCAATTTAATTGAGAATTGTGGGATGATTCTCAAACAACACCTTAGATATTATTTGATGCAAAGAAATAAGAGACTTCATGATACCCAATATTTTTTTGAAGCACCTTAAGAAGATTGAAACCTCATTGACTAAGTCACTATAAATAAATGGATAAATGAAATGCCCTGAAGATTGCAAGCAATATTTAATGCATATGGATATCACACTTAGTGATAGTGAAGCTTTGATGATACTCTTATAGTCTTGTAAATTTTGTGATTACATAAGCTCATGTGTGGTTGTAAGCCTTACCAAAGCATACTTATTTTTCATTGGCAAAAGTACAAAGACTTAATATATGTATAATTATATATACATATATCTATTTGTATTTATACTTGCATATTAAAAAATTATATTATATAATTATTTAAGGCTTTAAATTAAATTGTGTATAAATATTTTGTTAAATTTTGCAATATGGTTTAGTAACTATTTAGTAAAATGTGGAAAATAACATTATAAATTGATTGATTATATTATGCCTTATAATATCTAAGTGATATAATTTAACTAAAAATAAGATGAAATAATATAATTTCTTCAAAAATAATATTAAATAATATTTAAATTTAATTTTAGAAAATTAAAAATTAAAAATATACATATATTATTATTAGTATTATTAGTATTATTTTTTAAATTAATTTTAACCTATAATTTTCAATTCAAAAAACTTCAAAAAATAGTTTGAAAAGTGGCTCCATTGGCTTATGTCTATATTTGGTGTGAACTTAGTTTAGTTTTATTTTTAATTTTTTTCCTAAAGTAAAGAAAATCAAATTTACAAGCATATTATATAATAGATTATTATCAATAAAAAAAATAAAATTTCGGATTTTATTGAGGACATATATATATATATATATATATATATGTTTTTATATTTAATACCATTATATATACTTTTATCTAATATAATTTGAATAAATTAATCATAAATACATTATTATTTTTTAAAAGTAATTTATTTTTATTCTTTTTATTCAAATCCTCAATAAATTTGAAAATGAATTACTCAGGATTGTCTTTATTTTATCAACCTACAATTAGTGGATTCCTAATTTCAAGTTATTTATTTATTATTATTTTTTTCATATTAATAATCATATTTAGGCACACAATTATGTGATATTATTCTTACCACAATTATTATTATCATCATCATTAATTTCCTTAAACTCCCTCTCTTCGAAAGATAAAATAAAAGGGAAAGGAAGGAAGCAAACACAAAAGAGAGAAGTGGCAAAAACTTCTTAACTATTAAAAGGCAAAGAGAAAAAGTAAAAGTCAAGGGTGACGTCGTCGAAGCAGACGTCGGAGATCGCGACGAAAACGTCCCTGAAGATGCACGTCGTCCGTTCGTCCCCCTAATGCGAGATTCTCGTAGACTGTTCGAAAAGATTCGATGCAGCGAGAGTCACATGCTCCATCTCATTCCTCGGTTGTCACCCCGAACAGAAGACCTGTCTGCACCTCTCCTCTATGACCCAGAAATCGAGAGAGAGAGAGAGAGAGAGAGAGACAGAGGGACAGATGTTGTGCGTCAGGAGAAGAAGGAGAAAAAAAAAAAAAAAAAAGAAAAAAAAAAGAGATGAAAAGAAAAGAAAATATGACAAATGCAAGTGGCGCCGCCGGAATGTGACTTTAAGATTGCACAGCACGCAAAGAGGATAAACCTCACACCCTGCAGACGAATAGAAGTTTGGAAGGGCCAGAGACCATACATCTGGACTTGACAGATGAGACTGAACAATGCTCTGACTTACTGCAGTGTCAGTTTTTGATCCATTGCTTGAAGTTTTTGAGCATCATGCCAAACTAGATGTGCCTATTGCGAAGATCACTGTCCTTGTAGTAAGTTAAAGCTCTGGTTCTGGCCATAGCAATGGCGTTCAGCTGTGCGCGAACAGTGTGTCCTCCTCCTCCTCCTTCTCACTTAATGCATGGGTCTCCAGTGCGCCGTATCTCCTCGCAGAAGACACGCAACCTTCCAAGTTCTGTTGCATAGATCCACAGAGCAATTTTTCCAGATTGGACTATCCGATGGCGAACCTCTCAAACTGACTGATGACATGGTGTGCGGCGATCGACGCAGTAAAGCTCTGCTCGGGCACGGGGTTGCTAGGCAAGGAGCTCGACTTGGCTCTGGATCTTCCTCTTAAGTGCGCAGTAGGCTTTCACTTGGAAATTAGAAATGTACACCTAAATTTCTGAACTCCTATTTCCTAGGCTCATGACGAGTGAAATCATCCCTTCATGGTCTCCACATGAATCTCCAATGTCCTAGGACTGCCTCAACAACGACAATCCGTTCTCCCTAGTCTAACTTGCGCAAACTCGGCAACCCCAGCAGCACTCGGACTGCAGCTCTCTCTACAAACAATCAGGAACTTCGGACTTCCTCTTCATAAGCTGCAGGATGCGTGTTAGTTAAGAAGATTTTATGACATGTCCTGTGTTGGAAAACTGATTCTAGGAGCCTCTTGAACATGAATCAGCTCCGCACTGTCGTCGAATCGATTGCTTGAGCTCAGCGCGTCCGATCCCAGGACATTACTTCAACCTTTGTTTTGCCCTTCCAATTTTAGGGCTTTGCATATTTTACCAATTATCAACTAATATGTCAAAATTTTATTCCAAACTGATAAAATCTCACTACAACGTTTGAATCAATCTATCTCTTTATCAATTAATAACCTTTTTCTTAATTTCACAATGATAATTCATAACTAATTAGCTATAATTTCACAGATTTAATGCATTCTATTGAAAGCATTAAATGTAGCCAGCGCTCTCCATGCTATTTATTATAGTCTATAGTATT